AGTCTTATTTCAATGCAAAAAACGCCGTCTTATATTCGGGCCAATACGGTAAATCGAAGCACAACTGTTCACTTCCCCTTCAGATGTTCTTCAGAATTGAACCTTGCCCTCGATGGGTTGAAGAGCTTCCCAGACAGACGTTTTGGGAAGACATTCCATGAGTAGGTGTTGGTTTACTGAGGCCGCTTCTGCCCTACCCCACCCCCATCATTGTCGGCGCTCGACTTTTTCCACGCCGGTATGTGCGCTCGTGTTTGTATACGGCTGACAAACGAGACCCCCAGGTGTGGAGCCCGCAGGTACGGAGCCGGTCGCGCAAGCTGGCGCGCGCTCACTTTGCACTCGTATCTGCTCGCAAATCTGAAAAGCTGCGGCGCGGCCGACCAAAGGAAGCGCGTTGAGTTTGCTTCCCACGGTGGGGTCTCAGCCAGCCCGCATTTCTTGTGCCCGTACTCTTTAGGTAAGAACCCGTCCGACAAGGGAGCCGCCGGGGACTACGGCGTCCCAAACCCCGGCGGCCGTGGTGCTGCAGCTCATGAACGTCCGGCGCTGCGGCCACTCGGAAAACTTCTTCTTCGTGGAGGTCGGCCGCTCTGCTGTGACGGGCCCGGGCGAGTTCTGGATGCAGGTGAGTCCCTCATCTCTGCTCCCCTTCATCTTAAAAGTTTCATAGCCTTGTCACTTCAAACGCGTGCGAGCTATGAAGTCGTCTTAGCGCCTGCTCTCACTCTCTCATGGTCAAGAGACCCGGAGATGATCGTATTTTCGTACTCCACGGAACCGAAGAAGAAGTCCCTTGCAGCGTTCTGCCCAGCCGGGAATAATTTGCCTTGGCAAAGTCCTCTAGCTTAATGCCATTCGCTAATATCCATTAGCATCGATGTTCTGGCCCGGCACGTTGCGGCGCAGCTGTCAAAATGCATGAAAAACGGTGACGTAAAAATGATGAACCGCCCGACGGCAACGGTTCATGATATGATTGTTCAAACCGTCGTCTATCCGATGACGCCCCCAAAAATAAATGTGCGGTTTGTCTTTTGTCCAAATGGCCAGGTGGACGATTCGGTGGTGGCCCAAAACATGCACGAAACGTTGCTCGAGGCCATGAAGGCACTCAGCGAGGAGTTTCGGCAGCGAAGTAAATCTCAGTCAAACTCCGGACCGGGAGGGGGCGCGACCGCCTCCAACCCGATCAGCGTTCCCACGCGCCGCCATCACTCCAACCCTCCGCCCAGCCAGGTGGGCTTCACCCGCCGGCCCAGAACCGAGCCTCCCGGGGGAGCTAACGGTGGAGCGGGGGCGAGCGGCGCCGGCGCTTCCCCCACCCCTCGCCACAGCTTTCCGCGGTCTCGCGCCGCCAGCGACGGGAGCAAAAACGAGGAGGGCCTGGCGGGGCTCGCCGGCTCCAGTCCCTCCGCCAACGGTTCTTGCTCCGGCACGCCCGTCCTCAGGTCGAAGCTGACTCGGTCGGGCCCCGCCTCAACGGCGAAAACGCCCCTTGGTCTGATGCGCTCCATTTCCACGCCGGCACCCTCCCCCGGCCCAAGCCTGTCCTCCAGCTCCGGCCACGGATCGGAATTTGGGGGCGTGGTATCTTGCGCCGGTCCCGGCGCGGGGGCCGGCCCCTACGGTCGTTGCGCCTCCGTCTCAGGCTCACCCAGCGACTACGGCTCCTCGGATGAATATGGCTCCAGTCCGGGGGAACAGACGCTCCTCGTGTCCCCCGTCCTGCCCGGAAGCTCGGCCGGGAGCGCCGGCAGCCAGTCCCTCGGCGAGGACGGCGCCCATTACATTTTAATGGGTCAGCATAGCGGCGGCAGCGGGAGCCATCGAAGCGGCGTGACGTCCAGCTCCTTGCCGGCGGCGGTCTGCGGCTCCCAAGCCCAGACGAGGAGAGTCCTCCGGCGTTCCTCCAGCCGGGAATGCGAAGCGGAACGGAGGTTGCTGAGCAAGCGCGCCTCCTTGCCTCCGATGGCCTTGGAGAGGCTGCTCCCCTGTCAGCAGCGAGCCGAGGAGCCGGCGGAGGAAGACTCGGCGGACTACGCCATCATGTCGAGGAGCGCCAGCCGCGAGTCCTTCTCGTCCACGTCCTCCGCCGCGCAGAGGGAAGCCCCGATGGGCGCCGGGTCGGCAGAGGGAGGCGGGGCTTACTTCGACCTGGCGGGAGAGTTCAAAGGCGAGGCGGGATCGGCCGGGGCTGTCGACGTAGCGCTCGATAACGGCTACATGTCCATGTTGCCCGGAGTCACGCAGCCTCCGGCGCCCTCGTCCCAGTCGCCGGCCATTTCCGTCCCGGACCCGGACCCGAAACCGCCCGACGATTACATGGCCATGACGCCGAACAGCAGCGTGTCCCCTCCGCAGCAGATCCGTCCTCCGCCCGCCTCCGACGGTTACATGATCATGTCACCCAGTAGCAGCTGCTCGCCCGATCAACGCGGCGGTCTCTCCTCGGGGGCTTGGGTGGGCAGCGGCAGCGCCGACAGCAGGGCGGGCAGCGACTACATGAACATGTCGCCCATCAGCGCTCGCTCCGTAAACGGCAGCCCCCCTCCTTCGGGACACAGTCGCTCGGAGCAGCCGGTCCCCAAGATGGTGTACTCTTACTACTCGCTCCCGCGGTCTTACAAACACAACCCCCCCTCCCGACACTTTGACGACGGAGCCGGACGCGGCCGAAGACCGCACGGGAGCGGCGTCGGGGGCGCGGCTCGGACGGTCGGCGGGCATCCGGAGCAAACGGCCGCCGGCGCTTCAACGCCGGGGCGCCACCTCTCGCTTTCCTCTTCCTCGTACTCGTCCAGCTCAGCCAGCAGCGAGAGCCTCGGAGAGAGCGAGGAGCGAGCCTCCAAGGACGGAACCAATCTCCAGCAGCGACGAGGCTCCGGCGGGGCGCCCAAACACGGGATCCACTCTCGAAGCAGACCCGTGAGCTTGTTTGTCGACGTGTCCAAGGCCAACACGCTCCCCAGGGTCCGGGAGAACCCTTTGCCCCCGGAACCCAAGAGCCCCGGCGAGTACGTCAGCATCGAGTTCAAGGGGGAGAACGGCAACGCGGCGGGGGCGCGCGGCCGGGGCCTCGGGCGCGGCTCCTCCAGCCCTCGCGCGACGGACGACCGGCATCCTCAACACGGGCCCGTGTCCTGCCTGGGCGCTTTTGCGGCCGGATCCCGCAGCCGCTCGGGCCCCGTCACGCCGCCGGCCGCTTCGGAATATGTCAACATGGACCTGGGCGCTTCTCCCTCGCCCTCGCCCCACGCCCCGCTGGTTTTCCCTCCTTTCCACAGCCCCCCCACACCTCCGACTTTGGCTCCCGCTTCCGGCGTCGCCGAAAGCGGACCCGGCGGCCCTCGCGAAGAGGCGGCGGCGGCGACAGCCGGGGCGGCGCTCAGGAAAATGCGAGAGATCGTCCCAGAGTCGCGGTGCCCCGCGTCGTGCGGCGACTACACGGTGATGGCCTTCGACCTGAACGCCAACGCCGCCGCCGGGTCGTCCTCACCCGAAGCCCCTTCCCCGAACAGGACGGAGCTCCCCGTGGCGCCGCGGGGTCTCGACTTCCCTTTAGCCAAGTCGGGGCCCAACCCCGACCACGGAGCCAAAGTGATCCGCGCCGACCCCCAGGGACGCAGACGACATTGCTCCGAAAGCTTCCTCGCCTCATCCTCCCTCTCGGCTCCCGCTCCGACGCCTTCGTCGTCCGCCGCCTCGCTCTCCCCGGAGCAGGCCGGCCCCCGCCGGCCGGGCTTTGAAAGCGCGCCGTGGCGAAATTGCGCCGTCTCCGATGCCCCCGCTCAGTCGGCCCTTCCCGGGCAGCGGCCCGCCACTCCGACGGCCGCCGCGGAGCAAGGCCTGAACTACATCGACTTGGACCTGGCCAACAAGGAGAGCCCCCATTTAGCCCCGGACGGACCCCCGGGGAGCCAGGCGTCTGCGCGCCTCTTTTCGGCGCTGGGTGCTGGTAGTTCTGCGGTCAGAGCGGGCGCGGCGGCGGTCGGCGACGGCGGCGCCGGCGTCAACTCGTACGCCAGCATTGACTTCTGCAAGTCCGAAGAGCTGCGGATGCATCCCAACGGCAACAAGGAGGGAACGGGTAAGTCCCCCGTGTGCCTTTTCTCGATGTGAAATGTTGCCGGCCCGCCTTTCCCCTTTGGACGCCGAAGTCGCGCGGCCTTCTGATTGTTCTGTACGGGGGACCGTCGCCTCCGCTTCCGCTCGGCTTGAGCCATTGTTTTCCCGCCGCGTCGCCGTTCCCGGACAAAGGGACGCATTGGGATTTGCCGTCCGAGCGTCCCGCTTCGAATTGAACCAACGATCCGGCGGTGTGACATGAGAGGATTTGCTTTGGCCGCTGGCTTTGTGTTTTAAGCGCGCTTTCGTGTTTGGAAGATGCGAAGCTTCCGAGGCTTCGCGTCTCTCCATGAAAAGACGACCGATTCCATTCGTATCCTGATACGATTTGATTGCATCGAGTTTCTCGTTGTGACTTGACACTCTGACTGCACTTGTCGGTCCTGCAAATGTGGCACTTTACTCATCGACGTATTTATCGGGAAAAAGTCTGATCTGCATCTTGATCTGTTTTCACGCGCAGCCATTCGGTTCGATCCACTCGCAGCTTTGAAATCCAAACCGTTTGAAGGCTTCAGACCGTTTTGGTTTTTTTTTTTTTTTTTTTTTTGCAATGCTTCCTGTAATTTGGAAGGAGTTGCGAATGTACTGTAATCTATGCTCTTTGCATACCAAGAATGTTCAATTAGGGGGACCCACCGCAGCTAAACAAGGCCTCAAACCCTGTGAGACCCCCCCTCCCAACACCCCCCACACGCAACCGTCCGCAACCCCCAATAGCAAAACATTCTTTTGGAGCCACTGTCTGCACTGAGTTGGGCCGTTTCGGGGCTTGGCGCCTGCAGCCCGAGCTGATAGAGGAGCATTGAAATCGGCGTGCGGGTTGACGCGCCCTCGGGCAAACTCTGCCTTGTTTTCCCGGAAGCGTTCCGAGGCGGGGCTCTTGTGATGGCCGCGCCCTGCCGAGCGGCTCTGCGAGCTCCCGCGTCGACTTGCACCTCGGCTGGAATCGAAGGGAGTGGGGGGGGGGGAGGAGCATCCACCGAGCTTGCCTTACGTTGGCCCTTCCTCACCGTGTCTTGCGCGTCTTGGGATAGGAGCGCTCGCGGGCGGCCCCTGCGACAAGGGGGGGCGGGAATGTGACACGCTGACTGTGAATGTGAGATGGGGGCCAGGCTTTCACTCGCACCGTCTCGCAAATGCCTTTGGGCTGCGCCGGCCCGCTTTCATCTCCCCAATCCGGCTTTGGCTCCTCCTCCGCCTCGGCCAATAAAGGCTCCTTTTGTGGGAGCGCCGGGGGGGGGGGATCCCCCGAATTGCCTTCCGCTCCCAGATTGGCCTCTTGGTGTGGACCACCTTGTGTCCCGCCTGATGTGACTTTGGCTTCATCCTCAGATGACGGGTTTTTCAACTCCCTCCCTACGACACAGTTTGCGCCACCTTGAAGCCCCCCCCCCCCCCCCCACGCTCAGCCCCGCTGCGCGACCCCTTTAAAACAATTTTTTCTCCCAATTTTACTCGCCTTGTACGGCGGGCAGGTGGGATGACGCCAATGAGCCGGTAGCGATCATAAACAAAGACTAGAATCAAGGACTTCTCTCGGTCGTCACGTGTTTGCGACGCGACGTCTGCTTTGCTGACGAGAATCTTATCCGGAAGCAAAGCCGGATCGTTGGAGCTCGGGCTCGCGCCTCAAATGCGTGTTTCCAAAGCCCGATTCGCTTGACCTCCTTCAAACGCGTCGGAGTGGAACGCGCGCCGGCACGTTGACGCCGCAAGTATTGAAGCCCGACCCGGCCCGAGCCCGACCAATGAACTTGATTTGCAGGCCCCGAGCCCGAAGCAAACCCCAAATGTCGTATTTGATTCGTGGGGACTGATTTATGATAACAAATTAAAGCTCGTCTTTTGTCCCAAAATCAAAGTGAAACAAGACTGGATAAACATTGACATCTTTTATATTTCTGGTTCTGCAGAGGGCACATTCCACCGACAATTTTCCGTCATTGACGGATTTATTTTCAGAGTTGACGGGAAAAATTGAAGGCCGTCCGTCATTTTGACGGGTTGAAAATTGGGCCATAAACCACAGCAGCGGGACGTCCATATAAGCATCAAGCGCGGCACTTGAAGAGAGAAAAGCAGAGAGACAAAGAAGAAGAACAATGACGGCTGGAGACAGGAAGGCCTTCTTTGAATTGCCATTGCAAGAGTTTAGGACAGCACGTGTTGTGATGAGGCCACTTCTGTTTGTTTTTTTTTTTTGCGAACCACCGTCTCTCGTGGCCAAAACTATTCATGGCCTCGAAACGCCTCAAAACAAGCATTCCTTAGTTTCGTATCCACACATCGTTTTCGTTTACATTTTTATAAACATATATTTATTTTTTAAAAAGTCAGCGAGAGAGAAGCCCGGCCCGACCCGAAATTCGGGTTGGGCTCGGGCTCGGGCTTAAGATCTTACCTCTAGTCCAAAGTCCATTTTGTTTTTTAAAAAAAAAAAAAAAAAAAAGTTTCATATTTGTTATGAAATTGGATTGAACCATGCGGAGGGGGTACGCGCCCACCACTCGCAAATGACTCCTCGCCCCCACCCCCCCTCCTTTTTTAAAAGCTTCTTTGTCACACTTCTTCAGGCCCAAAGTTTTCAATGCAGCCATTCGCGCATAAATGGTTGCAACTTTTCCCTGGCTCAATCCCCCCACCCCCCCCCGTCCCCCTTAAATTCTCCACGCCAGTGCCTGACTGAGGACGGCATGCCAGCTGCCGACCTCCTCTACTTGTCTCGTCGACTTTGCACATGAAGTGAATTTCGTTCTCCTGAATTTCTGCGATTGATTGAAATGAATTGCCGGCTGGATTGACGCAAGAACGCATTTTCTTTCGCACACTGTGGCGGTCTCGCTACTTGACGGCGACAGGTGTGACCCCCGGCTGCGGAATCCGGGTCAGGCTCACAGCGCATTATGTAAAGT